AGGGCGATGGGATGGCACCCAATGGCCATGGATGACACCCAATGGCCATAGATGGCACCCAATGGCCATGGATGGCACCCAATGGCTATAGATGGCAACCAAAGGTGATGGGTGGCACCCAAAGGTCATGGATGGCACCCAAGGGTGATGGGATGGCACCCAATGGCCATGGATGACACCCAATGGCCATAGATGGCACCCAATGGCCATGGATGGCACCCAATGGCTATAGATGGCAACCAAAGGTGATGGGTGGCACCCAAAGGTCATGGATGGCACCCAAGGGTGATGGGATGGCACCCAATGGCCATGGATGACACCCAATGGCCATAGATGGCACCCAATGGCCATGGATGGCACCCAATGGCTATAGATGGCAACCAAAGGTGATGGGTGGCACCCAAAGGTCATGGATGGCACCCAAGGGTGATGGGATGGCACCCAATGGCCATGGATGACACCCAATGGCCATAGATGGCACCCAATGGCCATGGATGGCACCCAATGGCTATAGATGGCAACCAAAGGTGATGGGTGGCACCCAAAGGTCATGGATGGCACCCAAAGGTGATGGGTGGCACCCAATGGCCATAGATGGCACCCAAGGGTCATGGATGACACCCAATGGCCATAGATGGCACCCAAAGGTCATGGGTGGCACCCAAAGGTCATGGGTGGCACCCAAGGGTGATGGATGGCACTCAATGGCCATGGATGGCACCCAAGGGTCATGGGCGGCACGCAAGGGTGATGGCCACCACCACCAAGAGATGGGATGGCACCCAGGGGTGGGGGGGACAGCCAAGGTGGGTTGGGGGCTACCAAAGGTCATGGGATGGCACCCGAGGGTGGTGGGATGGCACCCAATGGCCATAGATGGCACCCAAGGGTGACAAGATGGCACCCAAGGGTCATGGATGGCACCCAATGGCCATGGATGGCAAGCAACGGTGATGGGATGGCACCCAAGGGGGATGGGATGGTCACCCAAGGGTGGGGGGGTCACTAAAGGTCGGGGGATGGCACCCAAGGGGGATGGGATGGCATCCAAGGGTGATGGATGGCACCCAATGGCCATGGATGGCAACCAAGGGTGATGGGATGGCACCCATGGGTGTCAAGGGGGCAACCAAGTGGGGTGGGGGGCCACCAAAGGTCTTGGGATGACGCCCAAGGGTGATGGATGGCACCCAAGGGTGGTGGGATGGCACCCAAGGGTGATGGGTGGCACCCAAGGGTCATGGGCGGCACCCAAGGGTGATGGCCACCACCACCAAGAGATGGGATGGCACCCAGGGGTGGGGGGGACAGCCAAGGTGGGTTGGGGGCTACCAAAGGTCATGGGATGGCACCCGAGGGTGGTGGGATGGCACCCAATGGCCATAGATGGCACCCAAGGGTGACAAGATGGCACCCAAGGGTCATGGATGGCACCCAATGGCCATGGATGGCAAGCAACGGTGATGGGATGGCACCCAAGGGGGATGGGATGGTATCTGAGGGTCATGGATGGCACCCAATGGCCATGGATGGCACCCGAGGGTGGTGGGATGGCACCCAATGGCCATGGATGACACCCAATGGCCATAGATGGCACCCAATGGCCATGGATGACACCCAATGGCCATAGATGGCACCCAATGGCCATGGATGGCACCCAATGGCTATAGATGGCAACCAAAGGTGATGGGTGGCACCCAAAGGTCATGGATGGCACCCAAAGGTGATGGGTGGCACCCAATGGCCATAGATGGCACCCAAGGGTGATGGATGGCACTCAATGGCCATGGATGGCACCCAATGACCATGGATAGCACCCAATGGCCATAGATGGCACCCAAGGGTGATGGATGGCACTCAATGGCCATGGATGGCACCCAATGACCATGGATAGCACCCAATGGCCATAGATGGCACCCAAGGGTGATGGATGGCACTCAATGGCCATGGATGGCACCCAATGACCATGGATAGCACCCAATGGCCATAGATGGCACCCAAGGGTGATGGATGGCACTCAATGGCCATGGATGGCACCCAATGACCATGGATAGCACCCAATGGCCATAGATGGCACCCAAGGGTGATGGATGGCACTCAATGGCCATGGATGGCACCCAATGACCATGGATAGCACCCAATGGCCATAGATGGCACCCAAGGGTGATGGATGGCACTCAATGGCCATGGATGGCACCCAATGACCATGGATAGCACCCAATGGCCATAGATGGCACCCAAGGGTGATGGATGGCACTCAATGGCCATGGATGGCACCCAAGGGTCATGGGCGGCACCCAAGGGTCGTGGATGGCACCCAAGGGTGATGGATGGCTCCCAATGGCCATAGATGGCAACCGAGAGTGATGGGTGGCACCCAAGGGTGATGGGATAGCACCCAAGGGTCATGGATGGCACCCAACAGCCATAGATGGCACCCAAGGGTGGTGGGATGGCTCCCAATGGCCCTGGATGGCACCCAAGGGTCATGGATGGCTCCCAATGTCCATAGATGGCACCCAAAGGTGATGGGTGGCACCCAATGGCCATAGATGGTAACGAAAAGTCATGGGTGGCACCCAAGGGTCATGGATGGCACCCAATGGCCATGGATGGCACCCAAGGGTGATGGGTAGCACCCAATGGCCATAGATGGCACCCAAGGGTCATGGATGGCACCCAAGGGTCATGGATGGCACCCAATGGCCATAGATGGCACCCAAGGGTCATGGATGGCCCCCAAGGGTCATGGATGGCACCCAATGGCCATAGATGGCACCCAAGGGTCATGGATGGCCCCCAAGGGTCATGGATGGCACCCAATGGCCATAGATGGCACCCAAGGGTCATGGATGGCCCCCAAGGGTCATGGATGGCACCCAATGGCCATAGATGGCACCCAAGGGTGACAAGATGGCACCCAAGGGTCATGGATGGCACCCAATGGCCATGGATGGCACCCGAGGGTGGTGGGATGGCACCCAATGGCCATGGATGGCACCCGAGGGTGGTGGGATGGCACCCAATGGCCATGGATGGCACCCGAGGGTGGTGGGATGGCACCCAATGGCCATGGATGGCACCCGAGGGTGGTGGGATGGCACCCAATGGCCATGGATGGCACCCGAGGGTGGTGGGATGGCACCCAATGGCCATGGATGGCACCCGAGGGTGGTGGGATGGCACCCAATGGCCATGGATGGCACCCGAGGGTGGTGGGATGGCACCCAATGGCCATGGATGGCACCCGAGGGTGGTGGGATGGCACCCAATGGCCATGGATGACACCCAATGGCCATAGATGGCACCCAATGGCCATGGATGACACCCAATGGCCATAGATGGCACCCAATGGCCATGGATGGCACCCAATGGCTATAGATGGCAACCAAAGGTGATGGGTGGCACCCAAAGGTCATGGATGGCACCCAAAGGTGATGGGTGGCACCCAATGGCCATAGATGGCACCCAAGGGTCATGGATGACACCCAATGGCCATAGATGGCACCCAAAGGTCATGGGTGGCACCCAAAGGTCATGGGTGGCACCCAAGGGTGATGGATGGCACTCAATGGCCATGGATGGCACCCAAGGGTCATGGGCGGCACCCAAGGGTCGTGGATGGCACCCAAGGGTGATGGATGGCTCCCAATGGCCATAGATGGCAACCGAGAGTGATGGGTGGCACCCAAGGGTGATGGGATAGCACCCAAGGGTCATGGATGGCACCCAACAGCCATAGATGGCACCCAAGGGTGGTGGGATGGCTCCCAATGGCCCTGGATGGCACCCAAGGGTCATGGATGGCTCCCAATGTCCATAGATGGCACCCAAAGGTGATGGGTGGCACCCAATGGCCATAGATGGTA